TGTATTGGTGATTATTACTGCTACCTATGTTTACTAAACAATTTGACTTACCAAGTTTTAAACAGATGAGATATCAAAGGCTAGTTTGGATGTCACATGTGACAGCGTTTGTTCAATATCTCAATAGTTATACCGTGGGACACATTAATATAAATAATTCCAAAGTTTTCAAAATAGTCTGATCAGCTTTCGCTTCTGTTTTGATCTAATTTGGCCTCTGGTCCTTGATTCCTGTTTGATTAAAATGCAGGACGTGTGTTACAATCACCAGTCTGACAAAATAAGAGTCAGTTTGGGACACTAGGCCTCTTATTGCCTAACCCCTAAATGACAGTCTTAAACTCCTGATAGTACGTAATCGAAATTAAAGTATACAGACAAGTCCCGGAAATTTTTCTCCAAATTTTCGGTTACTTTCTTGATTCATATTAAACCACTCGAAGCACACATTCTTCCACGTATCCCTGAATTTGCATCACGCTTCCTTGGTAGAATTGTAGAACTATGGTCTACTATGATATTAGTACTGCTCTAATAATAGACCTAATCCTGAAATTGTAGATTTGTCATGATATAACTGCCTAATCTATAAGATCTTACGTGGAAGTCACACCATCGACTACACCAACTCACCGTATCGTAACAACTACCAATACATAATGAAGAACGAGCTTAGGCTAGAGAAAGAACAATATATTTAATATGAATAGAGACCACGCCTGCATGGCCGAGCCATGCCACTCGATCAACTCCAGTCCATTCAATTCATTGTTCGCGCCTTCTCCATTTTTAGGTATTTCCCCGAGTTAAATATTGAATATCTATTTTCTGAGTAGTCTCGTGTTCACAGCTTTGTGGATTGTGTGGCTATTGTCCAATGCCACTACACTACTCTCCCACCAGAATCAACGTGATGTTGGTTCGATACCAAATTGGATGGGATCGTCGCGCGCCGGAGGTTGCCAAGGATAATAAGAATCCTCCGGGTATTGGTAAGCTGAAAGATAAATCAAAAAGAAAGCGGCAGCATCTGGTCGGGAAATACATGTAATAATTTTAAAATATCTGCCTTCATGTTTAAAACGCTTGAAATGAAAATCTGGGTGAAGATTATTTAAGCTATAAAAAATGGGGTTACAATAATAATAATAATAAAACGATGCGTGTTAATAACTTAACTTATAGGCAGTAATTATTTTGTGTTTAGAAATATTAAAATAATGAATATTGTAGAAATGTTAATATTGGTATTAGTTTTGGTTTAAATTATGAAATCAAATAACGATTATGCCGGTAAGTTGTCCATATGAGTTGAATTCCAATTGCATCTGTATTAGTAGGCTAACTGAAGGAACAAAAGTATACCGTGGAGAAGAATTCCAACTAGTGTTCCAATTAGTTTGATACGGTTTATTTAGTTACGGGGAGATTTTCTCAACCTCATTTTTACTTGACCGTGATAGAATTTAGTAATACTACTAATACACATGAATGTTCATCAAAACAAAATTTAAATACGTGAGTGATGAGTATATGAATTTTGGACAGATAGCTAGGAACAAATCGTTAAACATTAGTGTATTCGTAAGAGACATGCTCTAGACTCAATGTTCTGATCTGTGGCAGACTATTTATTTGTATTTATACTTGCCGGCTGATTGGGCATACAAGTTAGTTGCAAGTATGCAGTTTATTATAAGGCGGAATACGATTTAATTGAGATATAGTGGTTATAAGTTATTAAAATCAGTTAAGCCTATGGGTCATATTACGAAGTGATGTGGTGCTGCAAGATGTATTTAGCTAAATAAGTTTTTACAAGATGATTAATAGTGAGTGATGCTCATGTGATTATCAGAGAGAACATAAGTTGTAACCAAGGGGAGTACACTCCCAACTCATGTCTATGATAATGGCTTGAACCTTAGTCAGTGTTGGGGTAAATTCGACATTGATGTTTTCAGTTTGCAGGAGATTTGCTCGACTGCTTATACTGATTATTTGCATGCATGATTGTGTCGCTAAACCATCAATTAGACTGACAAGGTTTTGAGATATTTACTGAATGAGCAACTGATAGAGAAACATACTGTAATCATCTGTGATGGATGAAGATACCAAGAAAACAACACCATTTAATAGTAATTATAAGTCAATTTGTTGACCGATTTCGTTAATAGTCTCATTAATTTTATCAGTCATATTACGTGATTGTCAAGTTATGACAATGCTTTATGACGATATCCTGAAACTATTAAATTTAACTAGTTATAGTGTTGATTAAGGATTAGTCAGTGCAAAAATAGGTATTGTTGCTTTAGGTGATTTAAAATCATCAGATATTTACAACGTTAAAGAATCCGAGACGCCTAATTTAATTATAAATTTCAATTCAGAAATATTCGTTTAGCGTTAATTCTAGTAGGCTACGGAGTTTTGATTTTAAACGTTTGTTTAGCTAACAGCTACCTGAGGATTTAGTTATTTTACTAGTGCAGTTGATAGTACCTAAATTTTTAATCTTATTATCTAAACTATGTTCGCATTTTAGGCTGCTAATATGATAAACCAATCCATAAACCCAAATACGATTAGCAACAACGACTATGATGGGTTTATTGATAAATGTTAAAGGCGATCCAGATGATTTCTAAATTCATAAGACATGGAGATACAGTGTAACGTATGTATGGGCCAGGTTAACATGCAGGTTGTTGACGTATATAAAAATTTAAAAATAATGAACATGACCAGAAAATAATTTCAAAGTTTAGACTGCTTGTGAAACTTCAGGCAGGAATATGATGCGTTATAAACATTCCATAAGGATTTACTGCATTTAGCCTAGGGACACTTACAAATATATAGCAAAAGGAACCGGAAAACATATACATGTTAAGTAAAAAAAAAATCATCCAGTAAAATAGTTGAACTCGCCTGGATTATTTTTGAAAATTAGATTATTCAGTGGACGACATATATAACGCCATTCGTGAGGAGTAGTAATGGTAGCATAGCATCCAGAATAAAACATACAGTATGGCAATCACTTCCAGGGTGCTTGATGCTGTTGAGGTCTTTGGGACTCGCTCTGATCAGAACAACTGAATGAATCCAGATAATTGTGTGTGCCATCTAAAATGAACTTATGATTGCAGAAAACTTATAGCTGGAACTCACCGTATGTTTTTGGAGTAGTCATCCTCGTTGTTTGGCAATGGAACTCGAGAATATGAAATTAGGCAGGCAGTGGTCAGAAGAAAAGATATTACAGGATAGTGCATCGTTTAAAACAGGATGAGGTAATAAGATAAGGAACACTGAATATTAGATCCAGATAACTATTTAGTCCTTGATCGCATTGTTAGTCAATGTATATTTACGCTATTTACAGGTCATATTTGCCAGAGCTTGATGTTGCTGAAGCATGTATATGCTATTACAGCTTGTTAACAAATCATCAAAGCTAATTAGTTAATATAGACGACCAGTTTTTATTATCAATTGAGCTAGTTTGTCATGAGGACTAATCAATATAACATTACGATAATGCATGTGAGCATTAATCAGAGGACTATTGGAATACAGGGTTAACATAAATATAAAATCGATCGAGAAAGTTGAAGTGGAAATAAGGATTATTAATAATAGGTTGCGTTTCTTTAGTTGGGCTCACCAATGTAGAACTATGGTCTACTATGATATTAGTACTGCTCTAATAATAGACCTAATCCTGAAATTGTAGATTTGTCATGATATAACTGCCTAATCTATAAGATCTTACGTGGAAGTCACACCATCGACTACACCAACTCACCGTATCGTAACAACTACCAATACATAATGAAGAACGAGCTTAGGCTAGAGAAAGAACAATATATTTAATATGAATAGAGACCACGCCTGCATGGCCGAGCCATGCCACTCGATCAACTCCAGTCCATTCAATTCATTGTTCGCGCCTTCTCCATTTTTAGGTATTTCCCCGAGTTAAATATTGAATATCTATTTTCTGAGTAGTCTCGTGTTCACAGCTTTGTGGATTGTGTGGCTATTGTCCAATGCCACTACAGAATGATAACTGCTTGCATGCTACAACCATCCGTTTGTTATGTGACTTCCTATCTCGTTACATAAAATCAAGGCACAATTACATAGCAACATATGCAGCAAATAAGTATGGTTATGAGTACAAAATATACAAAGTGATAATAGCGAATGATGTCATTAGGCTACACAGCCACTGAGTTGCTGGGACAAGTTCATACAGTCAAATCTGGAGTATATCAAGTTACCGAATCCCTAAAACGCCTAAAAAGATGGTAAAAAGAAATGTTTTTCAGACGGACAAGAGATATAAAACCGTCTTTGATGGAGTCTTATCCTCATCTGGATGGCATTTTCGAAAAACTTTAATTAATTTACCAAAAATCGTGAGTAAAGAGAAGTGCATCTAATGCTCCTGGAGTAAACCATCCAGTCTAAAGAACGAAACTCCAGCAAAATCATTAACCTAAACTACCAATCTCCATCGTCACGCAATTGTGTCGTATGGTCACCCCATTACATGTCTTGTAGAAGTCCTGGAGGTCAATTTTCGCTCGACATTTGTATTCCGCTGAAAGAGTTCAGTTATCGTGGCCGCACAATTGTTTTCTATAACATGATATACCGCAAAGACAACCATGCTGGAATCCAAATAGAATGAAGCTATTGAATATGTAAGTCCGGATACGTGGAAGAGGACTCATCAACAGTAGTATCTCAGACTTTTCTAACGATTCGACCCCCAAACTTAATGAAGCCTACATAGTTATGAAATGCAAAGTAACATATATTAATTGGAGTGATCCAGCAATAAGAGTGTTTTAAGATCTACCCAACAGTTACAAGTACACATATGCTGAACAATCAAGGCACTATAAGATCAAAATAGCCACTTCGTAGCGTTCAAATACAAAATGCCCTCCGCCGCTTTGGCCTATCAAGGCCGTGTAAGCACAGTTGAGGTAATTTTAACTTGTCCCACCGTAACGGTATTAAGAATCATTACATATGACGTTACTAATGTGAGTCTGATTTCGCTATTGCAAGACAACAGAATCACATTAGTAACGTCATATGTAATGATTTTTAATAGCGTTACACCACGATGCCACTGGGTCGTTGCCCACCTAGCTACTCCTTCAAACCTTTTAGTGCGTCGTGGTTCTTTTTATGTATGTAATATTTATTTTTAATAATATATTTTGCTGTAGTATTCTCTAAAAGCCTAGTACAAATTTCTTATGTCGAATTTACTAATTTGTTCGTATTATAATACTATTATAATAACAATGGTTGTATGAATTATTTGCTGTTGGCTTAAACGTAACATACATTTCGTGAGCACGCAGTCTGTGAAAACGATGGAGCCATCCCTTATGTAGATGCATGTAGGTAAATACATTTGATTGCTATCGCTCGTATTAAAAAAGTCCATATAAATGTTGCTTAAGTAGCCAGTCTACAATACTACAAAGTTGATATTGTGGTTTATCGCTATGCGGCACTTCTAACTGGTGGTTATACGATAAAATGTACTACAGTGCATTTTCCCTAGATAATTTGGAAATTTGAGGAAAATCCTCAGAACTGAGGAAAGTTTGGGATTGATGACGCATTTCAACAAAGTGTTATGCTGTTGCTTCTCTAGGAATGATAAATGTTTCTCCAAAGATTGGGTGTTGACGATATTAAATACTGTCTTTGTTTAATGACGTCAATAGAAAACTAGTGACAATATTAAACGATCAAAAAAGCCAAGTGCACTTAAAAGAGTAATACCATATTCAAAATCCAGAGAAAGGCGTGGTTGATCTCTACTGTCATCATTGCTAAGCCATATCACTTAAAGGCATGGAATATAGTTGTCTCACAAATCGTGGTCAGTAATGCTGCATATCAAAATACTATTTGATAGATAATCTAGGCCATTCTGTGACGAAAGTATAATTCGTACAGTATCCATTCTACTAGTCCATCACTAATAGTGTTGCTGTAAGGCAAGTGTTTGCAATATTCAGCCACAAAGTCTCACCTGTTTGCTGTAATACTTCCTTTTTTGACCAGGCGATGTGATCTAACACTTTTCTATATTGCAACAATCACTAACTATGAACCTCATCTTGTGGTGGAATAAGATCAAGCTACTTTCTCGTTTCTCGGCTATTTTTTTAATTAAACCACTACCCAAGTAGTTCTTATTTAACTAGATCAACTGTCTTGAAAGTTCAAGAATTTTGTGGAAATAATATTTTGCGATAAAAGGTGGATTGTTTTGCTAAAATTTTTTAGTTTCATTTGCTAACATACCATCTGTCCTATTTCATTACAGGTTTATAGCTCAAAGCTGCCCAGTTGACTAAATTTTGATGTCTGACTTAGCAGTATGCCGGTTTGCGTACGATGGGGTTGTTACCGCAGTACTAAAAATATTGGAATCAGATGGCGAAAAGTCGTTTGTTGACCAGGTTTTATTGTGAACTTTTTTAACTCTGGACTCAATACTTGCAGGCTGGGCGAAATCCTCTTCATTGGGCGGCTTGTGGGGGTCATTTAGAGTTGGTAAAAATTCTTCTGACTAGAGGTTTCGATAAAGATTGCAAAGATCAGGTAATAAGTATGGTTAAGTCCACTTGAATACTTCTAGTTTTTCATTTATAAAAAATAACAGAGTTCTTTTTCGGTGTATTAAAAAACAGTGGTTTTAGTAGTACGTTATTTTGACAAAGTATACTTGCTCTATCCCCATTAAAATATATTACTTCGCTAGTCACTCCTTACTTTTAGCGAAACTTTCATATCACCATGTGTTTTAACTCTGTTTCTTACGGTTAATGACCCAGCTATTCCTATTGCTTAGTATTCTCGGACACCGATTCACTCGACAAGTCCCCAAATCAGAACACGGTTGAACCGGGAAAAGATTATATTCCAAATAGCAAGTCAGAAGCCAGTAGGAAGCACAATAGGGGAAAACGTCGGTATATTTATAGTTTTTTACATAAGAAGATTCCAGAATATTCTCCGACTATCGACTAGTGCTGATTGGATGAGAATCAGCCAATCAGCGTGCACCAAAGCAATCATGCATTGAGCATGCTTTAGTCTAGTCTATGTCCCGCTAACACCATGATATAAACAACTCTTGTAGTGAGGAGGACCTAGTAATTTTTAGGCTCTGTCAATATTAATAGTCAAACGTCAAAAAAAAGCAACTCATCAGCACTAACTAGTCTAAGATTAATTTTTGAGTGACACAATATTTGGTTCGCATGTCTTCATAAGCCAAAGCAGGAACTTCATCCATGTCTTTTTTCTGTGAGAGTTGTGATACTGTATGAGCATCTAAACTACAATAAATGTTCCTTTTCAAGCAAATTCCATGCTCATTGATCTGATTTGTGAACCAGTTGTCCACTTTTCACACTCGTTGAACTGGAACCTCGTGAAAGCAGTGTATAGGATAACCCCTAGAGACTGTTAACGCTCAATCGTACAGGGATATTTTATAAGAGACCAGGTTCCACATCTAAAGCTGTAGGCAATTTTTGATGGTTAATAATATAGGTGTTCATGGGAAATTTTCATTCAAAGTGGCAATAATAGGTAGTGTTATCGAACAATTCTGCTGTCACTACTCTTTTTCAACTTCATTATAGGTATGCTGATGGGAGTGACTGCTTAGCTTCAACCTTTTCAGGATTGTTTTTCTGTTTAGATATCCTCAAGTTTGATAAAATTGTTGACGACACTTGAGTCTCAAAAATATGTTTAGTATGTTATCAGCATTCATGAATTTTAAGATCATTTAAAAGGTCTGTATCATCATAAAAAATATTGTAGGTCATCATATTTTTCATCTATTATTTTATTTAGTCTAACTGGACTCCACTTATGATTGCTATTTCCGCTGGACGTGGTAATGTAGCTTCATATCTTATAGAGCAAGAGCATACTGATGTAAATGTAATAAATTCGACAGGTCAGTGCTGTCTTCACTATTGTGCTTCTAAAAATCGTCTTCAGGTGAGTATTTTTCCGTATATTTTAGATATATTCACTGCATCATCATGTGCCTTATGTATATAAGTTTTCTCATTCGGGGTCCTATCTAGAATATAATTTCCATATACCTAGCTATACTTATTTTAGTTATGCGAATCTAAATAAAAATGTCATTCCTCACTAATATAGCTTGACCCGATCACTCTAATGCATCGTTCTAACCAACTATTAATCGAACCTTCATCAGTCTGAAAGCCTGTTCGATTCCATAAAGGATTTATTCAAAAAGCAATTTCAACAACCTTATAGAGCTGTATGTCATACAATGATGTCTAAGATCCGATTCGATGGTAACTGTTAGTGCCTAATTAAAGTTTGGCCGGTTGAACTGCTCCCGATTCTTTTCCCCTCATTTTCATTGTAGTCATAAATAGATCGCATCTTCCTAAATCCTTTAACCTAACGATCAGTGACTTCTCTAATTATTGTTGTCCTTGTTCAGTATTAAAACGAATATAGAAGAGATATCAATATTTTACGGTATCATGAAAATAGCATGTTGGATAAAAGTGGAGACTTAGTCTCCCTACAAGAAATTGTCTATGTCTAGTATTGCATAGACGTTTCGGAGTCCGACCACACTTGAAAGTTACATCGCTGCTGTCGAATTTCTACTGGTAATTCTTATAATAATAATAATAAAAATAACTTTATTCTATTTAATAATTCTTGGTGTCCCAAGCTGATGTTATTCTTAATTATACTAAACGGACAAGTTCAAAATTACATTCCTAACATTATTTTTCCAGTTAGTCAAACAGCTATTAAATGCTGGTGCGAAACCAGACGTAAAAGATTGGGGAGGAGTTACACCGCTTCATCGTGCAATCGCTACCGAAAACCTAGATATAGCCAAACATCTTTTAGACCATACAATCACTGAAAATGATGTTGGTAATGAAGAAGGCTGCAATAAACTGTTTTCAACGCTTGTTGATTTAACTGACAAACAAGGCCAAACACCTCTGTAAGTTTTCGCTTATAAATAAACAAGAGTCTGTCTCCGACACTTTCTGTTCTTTTTACATAACTATCATCTGCTAAGTTGTGTTTAGCATCATGTTATTCTGCTATACGAATAAACAGGTTTTTACTGAACTTGAGCATAAAAAACAAATGTTTCGTACTTTTTAGCTTTTGTATGATCAGCTATTTGTCTTTACTGACAATTTATTACTCAAATAATCCGGTTATCGACATTTAAACACACGGTTTACATTTACATCGATTTATTACAAAGTTCTAACACCGGATTGATTGTTTGGGACAACGCTATTACACATCCCAGTTCATAAAAGTCATTACTGTCTACTGGCACTATAAATATTCTAGTAAATCAGTCATCTCATGATAACATAGACGATAAGCTTGTCGGTTATTAGTGTCTCGCCTCCTTATATAAAATTGTCAAATTCAAGTCGTCATCAAGCGTGATTCACCATTCAAGTATATACAGGGGAAAAATAAGAAAGTAGTTACGCCTAAATGTCTTTGTACCTTTGTTGCACATCTAATAACTAGTGGTTGCGTTATCGCTTCTCATTTCATCTCCATAATTCCATATTATTTTGGGTGATACATCAATTTGTACTCAAATGGTTGTAAAATTCAAAACAATTAGTAACGCTGTACAGTTTTACTTACAATTTATCAGAGTATTATTTTTATTATTAAGTGAGAACATGAACCGACCAATGTTAGACCACTAGATGGCCGTTTCGTCCAGGTGTGGGACTCCTCAGTATTGAGCGCATAATCGAAGGTCCTCGGTCCAAATCCCGCTTGCGGGATCGTGGATACCTACTGCTGACGAGTCCCATATCACGACACAACAGCTGTCCAGTGTTTCCAGGTTTTTAATCATGGTCAAACATTGATCAGTTCATGACCTCAATTAAAAATTGACATTCTCCACAACCATGTACTGATATTATTATGATTAAGTAATAAACTAGTGTCAATCCTAGTTCTAATAGGTTCAGAATAATAAGTTTTCATTAATTTCACTCATCATTTAGTATATTATATACTGTAAACCATAAATAACATTTCTTCGCATTACCATATCAAAATAGTCTGACTCGCTAACCGATTTTAGAACTATATCACAAACTCTTAGCTACATTTTGTTTGAGAGCTTTTGATTCTTTTGTTGACTCAACTCTCCAAACCGGTTGGAGTAATGTTCAAGATTGTCACGTATTGATTAGAACCAACCACTAAACTTCCATCGTTTCGTTGTCATGGCTTCATTTGTGTAATTATGTTGTTAATCCTACCGGAATTTTGACAAATTTTACCGTGGTTGATAAGTATTAAAATAAAAATAGTCTTACATATGGTAAAAGTCCATTTCTTAGGAAATGCGTAAACCATATGATTTTAATTATTTATTAATATGTCAAAAACTAATCCGCATACCATATACTTTGATCTGAATAGTTCAGTAATAATACGAATATGTCTGAAGGTCGACTTCATGAACCTATGACTAGTTATAATGTATTTATTGTAGTTTCAGTGAAAAGCCTCTCATTTACGAGTCATAAAAACGTTTTATTCTATGGTGTAGCATATCAACAAATTGCCAATTCATCTACAAATGAACTGGGATATGATCATCCACATTTTCCATTCCATGATTTAAAACTCTCCTTCCAAAGGTGAGCAATATAATACATATTACAAATAAGATTGTAAAGCCTTGGTAAAACAAATGGGTTAGTTAATGTACTCGATTTTAAACGGACAGATCGTGTTTCGAACTTCACTTAATTTCCCTTTTTGGGGTAACTGAATGGTATTACTAGACGTCATAAAACGGGGCTTAAAATCGAGTTATAGAGGAAACAAGAGTATGTATTCGCATTTCCGAACACGTTCCAAAGAATTTCAGACTGAAATGTACAAGTCTAAACAGTACAACAACTCGGCCTCGGTAAATCCACATTTTTGATTGGAATCACCTTAATTGCTTTTATTTTGTGCGGCAATCTTCGCTAGGCTAAGTTACTACATCCAAGCTAAAATGACGTGTTGTCCGTTTTTCACTAACCCAATCGTCAAAACTTTGCGAAATTTCTATAGTCATTACTTAGTATCAAATTCTAGACAGTTACCAAATCCTCGCTCCACATTTTCTACATATACCTCCAAATGTTCTTAAATCCTTCAAACCCATAATAATTGCACAAGTGAGATTACCAGTTTCCGGACTGCCTCACCCCTGTTTTTGAATTCCATCTTCGAACAACCTCACACATGCATTATAATATATACACAATTGACAGTAGTTATCATTCCATCAATGATCTTTGTTACTTCATATTACATCTCATTGTTACACTAATACGAATACAATCGTAAAGAGCTGAAGAGAAACCATGAAATATGAACTCATTATTGTCTCAATTGTCATTTTGACTTCATTTAAATTCATAAAGAAAACCAACCAGTCAAATATATATCTTGTAGTATTTTGTGGTTTTTAGTTATTAGTTGAACTGTAATACGACTGACTAGAAAAACTGATAAACTTAGCTTTATAATCGAGTGAAAGCTTAGAGCCACCGCTGTCCAGTTGTTAAACTAGTTATCGTAAAACATTTAACTTTTTAGTGTAGAATTAATTTTGCTTATGCACCTCTTTTTACTATGGAAAAATCACATTATTTGTTATGCATCAATACCATATGTCTTTTTTACTTGTTTATTATAGACATTATGCATGTGAAGAAGGCAATTTCCAAGCTGCAACTTTACTAATGAATTATGGTGCCTCTATAAATCATAAAGATACAGTAAGTCTACTGAACCTATAGGCTTTTTCTCATATACTGATCATCTGCTAAAATAATTTCTATTATCCCTGTGTAGATAAGTGAATACACCAAAAATGGTTCCGAGATTGTCGAGATGAAATATGGATGTTTGACCCTAAACATACTAGTCAGTTAATATTTTACGGCTAAATATATGAAGTACCGTACTACAAAAATCACATAAAGATACTAACTGTCAAATCAGTGCAATAGTAGCATGAAAATGATTATTTCGTGAATCTACTACCAAACCCATTTTCGCCTTTTAGTAGTTTATACTTCTATCATATTGTAGTGAACACGAACACCAGTGGGGCAATCAAATGTATTTAACACAAAATTACAGGTTGATATCAATTAAAAATAATCTGTGGGATCTGATGTATTACCCGAAAATAACCCGTGATTTATGTAGTTACTGTGAGTCTGTGACCTAATTGTGGTTATTATCATTTCATCCTGGCAATCAGGTTATGTCCATGCACTTATCTAAAAAGTCTTCCCATACGTCTATTTGTTGAGGAGAGTGAAGGCAATTACTATTATGTTGATCAGTGTTTTGAAGTAAATATGCACCAAAAGTTGTGACGTACTGGTTTTCGTCTTATTTCAATGATAAGTCACTAAATATTAGATTACAACCAAACGTTTTTAGATTGATATCCAATTTTAAAACGGTGTCAAATTCCCATAATTCTAAAAAGTTCAATTAGGCTACCTGAGATATCACTATTCTTGGTCATCGACTTTAGTTATGTAATACGCTTGTACTTTTCCAGATAATCACAACCATACTGTAGCTAATTGCAAAACCCTCCAATTCATGCATAAGCACTTATCTATGAATACTTATCTCGATTAAGCTCAACGTCATGTCACTTTAGATACGTCTGCCCGTGTAAATTAAAACAACTTATCAAAACTACCATAAAATATTTCTTCCTTGAAACGTTATTTAGTGTCTTAGTCTGTTTTCTGAATTCCGAAGATGTTAACCCTACTCGATATAATGAATCTCTGTATCCTAGTCACAATTTTTACTGTACATCAATCCAAAGCTTCGATCACCCGTGCCAAACATACCTAAAGACAACAATATAAGGATTATTTATCCACATAGCAAACAACAACTGAATTCTTGGAGTTACCTAACAAGTTAAAACAGATATGATGAGTTATTGGTATCAGCATAATCTTTAAATAGTCAGATAGAAATTGTTTATTTACTAGACGTTCTTACTCCTTCACATCGACACATTATTTTTCACTACCATAGCGTAATTAAGCACTTCTCCTTTCTAAGATGAACGTTGTGACGAAACTCCTAGTAAGTACATGAATAACTGCTAAAATAGAACATGGGGAACCGACACTATAAAGGCCTTTTTCAGGCTGTTTCCATAGAATTGATGGCCGTTACTCGAGATCTCCACTAGCACTTCAATGTCCACGGCTGACTCCTTCAAAAAAAAAGCCAAGACTTAAGTAACTTACAGCTGTATCGATACTCTACTAAGACAAGACATCAAGATCATTTAGTAAAAAAAAATAGCCGGGTTTAAATAAGTCAGAATCCAAGTAAGATATACATGGGTCAAAGTACCCTGCCGTAGTACCACCGAATAGATTGGCTTACTACATAGTCAGTAGCTCGTAAATCCTAGACTACTTGTTTTGTTACATGCGTATTTGATTCATTTTGTTAAATCAGTCTATTATGTGCTGTTTTTTTAGGATGGCAGAACACCCATAGATGTTGCCCCGGACCATTTGCGAATGAATTTGTTAAAACTACTAAAAGCTAAATAAAAAAATCTTTTTATAAATATTCGTTTATTCCCAAATAAAAAAACTATTTTGTACGTAAAGTCGATGTAGTTTTAGTACTAAAGTAAAATGCAGTATCTTCAGTTTCGAAAGCATCCACCGGGAAAATGTGACCGAGATCCCACTATTTTGAAGATAGGAATACTTGTTCCTCTGGGTATCATCATATTTGACTAGTAGGTTGAATACCCAGAAGCCCATTCTAGTTTTGAAGGACAATTCGTACTGCTGACTACTTCTAAATAAACAGCACTTACAGCGAGGTGGTAAGTACGGTTTTCAGGACTCCACACACTTGCCTACCAAGATCTCCGTACAAATGATAATGCACTCCAAGGTAGAATTACTACAACATAATTACGCAAATACCTAGTTGAAATATCGTTCTGTGAAGGACCGTAATCACTTCACCTGTTGAGATATTCACAAATGGGATTTATTTTGCCAGGTATCCGAAGATCAATATTTGTACAACCATTTAATCACAAAGGCGAGGTATATGCTGTTAGTTGAGTCAGCGTAAGCTGCAATATGAAAGATTTCACCAAACTGTCCTACCAAAAGGCTAAGGCGACATGTACAGCCATCATACCCGTTGATTTCAAATAAAAGCTAGGCCGGGATGTGATACTTTCGTAAACTTATCCCCATAATTATGAATGTGTATACCAACCGGACTTTGCTGCCCGCAGGTACTGACATTTGGCTTCGAAAAGTTGACTATGCACTCAGGACGGGTAGTACTGTTGGTAGTAATATTTGAAAGTAGAAAATACTGTTTATTCTGATCTACATATCTTCTGACGTGTGTCTAGCTATCAGTCGACGCGGAAAAAACAACTAAGTTTTTATGAGCTAAATTTGTGGGTAATGAACCCCAAGACTTTTTGAAACAAACTAGTTAGGCACTAACTAGGGCGCAACGACGACTCTATACTTTGTAGTCTGCTGAAGCAGCAACGACATCGTTGAAATAGGCACGAAACATACCGAAGTCACGACTCTCGGCTTAATGACGCGTCTACGTATACCGAACGCAAACAGTAGATGATCGATATAGGTTGGGTTAAAGAAATAGGCACATCTTGCACATACAGTACTTACTTAAAGTGACCTCGTCATAATTTGTGCGTTTGTCCAAACAGCTCGCATCATTTTTACCTGGCTTTTTTATCTAACGGTCGAACAAAAGCCACATGACTTATGCTCCTATTTTACATAACATCAAACATTATGCCTTGACAAAGAGCCCAGTACCGCACTATTTAAGACCAGACGAAGTAGACTAGGTTTCCTCGAAATTAAAACCATTCTTACATTTAACTAATTGTAGTGGCTTTTCTTTGACAGAAACCCCCACATAGTAATCATATAAGCTAAGTAAGGCTTGATATATTATCACAAACGATTCCCGTAATATATAAAATAATTTCCTTGTTCAACCTGGCGAAACCTAGGCTTCTAGAATAATGATAAGTCGGCCAGAAACAGGGCAATATCGAGTAAATGCACACTGGCTTGAACTGCCACATAAGTGGAGAAAGATAAAAACCCCCATAATGGGTAGTGGAGTTGTAGCAATATCCAACTAAAAGGAGATTGCACACGATTCAGGGAGAATTAAACTGCGTAATATAACGAATAGAGTAAGCTTCAACTCAGGATTTAGGGTTAGTAGATGAGTAAGAGTACATGATCCACTGTGGTTGGTTTTGAACAGTACCACCAACTGCGTACGGAAACTGAATGAACCTTAAATAAATACTACTCTCGGGGGGAAGATGTATAGCGGCACGTAGATAATTCCTCCGGGCTACCAAGTCTAGTTGTTAACCACTGTAGGGTGTCAGATCTAGTCAATTAACAACAAAGACAAGTTTGAAGAGAACATATACATTTGGCTATCAAATTAAATTCTAAGGTTGATTTATTACTTCAACTACCCACATAAATGTTGGAATCATAACCATACACACCGTCTCTTACGCCACATTTTCTAAAAATCAAACTTTTAAAATATGAACGGATACTAATCGGTTTTCCATCTTTCCAGTTTGTTACTTTTACATGCTTCCCAACTCGTTTAGATGCATCGACCTTGTGTTCACTTTTCAAGCATTCTCTAACAGCTTTCGCACAAATTGAGGAGTATCTTATGTAACTGGAGGAAGTGACTACATAATAACAGAGACAACATACTTTATTCCTGCTAACCTCCAGAGTGACATTGTGTGTAAACGCCGCCAATGTTAGCTGATTCTTAGTCAATTGTCCAATGACGAATGACCGCAAGTGGTTCAGGATGCAATGGAAGCTTTACGGGTTTTCGTATCTATTAGTGGTGGACCACTGATGCCGTCAGGTAGGATCCTAGGTATATTTAGTGATAAAAGAGAAAAATACGAGTAATTTGTAGCAAGAGACTCTCCTTAATATTTAAGATTATGTCAAGTTTTCTCTTAAAGGATTCTCGAGAAGTCGCTTGGACTAGATCAGCCGGCAGAGAATTCCAGCACTTAACTACTATCAAGGAGAAGAAAATGTGTCTACAGTCCGTTCTGCTATACTGTGTCTCCAGTTTCTGGGTGTTACGGCTAAGTTTCATATTCGGATTGAGCCTATGTAAGTGTTTAAGGAGATGCCCAGAAGTTTTTAGGATGGTATAAGCCATTCGATTGTCGCCTCTAAGACGCTCATACTCCGATGCGTAAAGATTCAGTGATTGAAGGATTGATATTGAGCCACATAAGCGTTCTATTTACCTCGCACCTCTTTCAGGGCACGTTGTTTGGGATCAATTTTCAGATGACAGCAAAGTTTTGTGATGGTTGTAGATGATCACAAATGGCATCGTAACCGTGAAGTTCATATCGTTCGACTGCACACGGGGAAGATCGATATGATTAGGATTTCCTTTTAAATGAGCTATTTCGAGGTGACATCCTAATGAATCTCGACGAACAAAACACCAATATTAGGCGGTCGAATAGGCTTGACTGGATGCACCGTGTTTGTACTCCTGATTTCGCAGAAGTTTAGATTCGCATCCACTGAAGTATAAAAAAGACCCACAAGTTGAAATGTCGTTTCGTTAAGGAATTGCTCTACAGCGTATCCAACTTCAGCTTTTATTACATTGACAATACCGAGTGACCCGAATGTAAGGGCATCAGTACACTCTGGTACGTTGACAGCTAAGAGTAAAGCTTTCAACTGTCGGTTGTATCGTTTTACCGACCTGTTCGCTTTTTGTGGCAGACAGTCGTTTGGAATCATGTGATTCCTAATAGTTTAGAAAGACAACGCTAATGGTTAACTTCGAACTGGCGTCCGCGGTTTGTAAAACAGTTGAATTGCAGTACATGTCTGCTGTCCATCGTTCGACGTAAGCATTAGCCATTGTTTCAGAGATAATTTTCTTGATGGTTTCTGCTTACAGCCACCGACTGAAACGTTCTACATATGTCAAGGGGTGAGAGTTTCCGTTTAAATCTGGCAAGGGTCCTACCAAAGCAAGATTAGCATGGTCAAAACGAGCTTCGGAAATTTTTAATGAGCCTATAGAATACTTGTGTCTAACCGCCTTAGATTTCTGAAAGCTTACATCGGAACATGCTCACTCCCTCACGTCTTTATTCATACCAGGTTAGCAAAATCATTCTACTGTGGGCTTGATGGTTGCTGGAACACCTGGATGAGAATGTTTGTGCAACGTTTTGAGTCGTTGCGTCGATAATGTTTTGGGCACGATTAGACAGTCCCTACCTGTAGGTGTCACATAGTAAATTTTCCTACCTGCTCCCATCTTTTTATTACGTAGTTTCAGGGTTGTCGATGATATCAGTTTCTTCTCTTTGAAACAGCAAGTTTATGAAGGCCGGTTTCTTGAAAACCGCTCAAGGAAGTTATACATGACAAAACGTTTGCAATTACACTGTTTGCCAGAGGAATATGTTGTATATATGAAGTAAGCTGCGAAATGCTGTCCGCTTGCCAAGACTCAAGCGTAGTACTTGTCTAAAAACGAGATATGAGTAAAAGTGAGAGATTTTTGGTCGGTGAACAGAATGAATTTTCAGCCTTTGACAGAGCGTTGAAAGTGTTGTACAGAACAGTACATAGCTAGGTGTTCCCTAACTCAATTCACTGTCTTGCAACCGTCTCGAGAATAATAACAAAGATTATCATTATTATTATCCACAAACATCTTATGTGTACATAAGTGTTGTAAAGTAATCATTTTAGGTTTCTTCACAAAAGAAATAATACACAAGTCTAAATTATGGTAACGTAATATTCGCCATATACAAAAAAGAAAAACAGAATGATAGAATAATAAGATTATAATAAATGAGGTTCTGAGTAATTGAGAAGAATATTGAGTTGACTCTAAAGAAGGAAAGGAAGAAAATAAGAGAATAGAAATGAAGAAAACGCAAAATACGTGAATAGTTTAATAAACCTGTTTGTGAACACAGAACAACAATAAACGACCATGGATGTATCGCCAAATGAATAGCATAAATAAGAAATCAACTTACTATTTCAGTAAGATGTGACGGTAGAATACATGTTTATGGAGTAATGGTTTGAAGTGATCCTATGAAAGTCTTAATAAAATGCAAAGGATATCCAAATATAAATAAGCATGAGTTATATATTCATAGTGAAGATAAAATGAGTCTGAAAAGTTAATTTAAGTGTAATACAAGATATTGTCTTAATTACAAACTTCGGAACATCAATAATGATATTTATTTGAAAGGAAAAGAGAGAGAGAATAGAAATGAACACCTAGTGAAAGAGTTCAATCATGATAATATGAGTGTAAAGAGTATCGACTTTTGTAAAAGAAGAAAATGAACAAACCACTCTTACGTCATTGGTAAAAAAGAAAGATTTACCATATTGAAAGGGAGAACACAAGTCATTGATTAAAAGAAGGAAGCGTAATGGACCAATCACATTTTTTGTACAGCCTCACTGGTTGCATTCACAGGCTTGGAGTAGCCAGATCCAAAGCGAATGATCTGGTTAAGTTCTGCTAAAAGCGATCCGAGCCAAGATAAGACGGAATTCCTCATGCCACATAGAGAAAGTTTCAGGAGTTTGTGCGGGACAATTTTGAAGGCCTTACCAAAATCGCAGTACAGAATTATCAGTGACTGGCCATCATCTCTTCACTGAGTAATTTGACCGAAAAATTCGTGGTGCGATGTGAAGAATGAGCATTTAGTCACGAGCCCGCATTGGGCTTAGCTCGTTAGGCTAGCGGAAAGTAAAAATGATAATAGCTGTTGTGGATGATTATTTCCATGGTTATTGATAGCACGGATGTCAAGTTAACGGGTCTATAGTTACTAATATCACCAAATGATCCCGCTTTGAATCTAGGGGCGATAAGGTATGTTGCCCATGCAGATGGATAGATCCCATATTCCATAGATAGGTTGAAAAGTTTCGAACAAAATAGTGGGAATTCTCTACTACCATATTTCACTAATGATGAAGCGATCTCTTCAGGTCCGCCGTTATAAGAGGTTTTCAGGGCAGCTATGGCCTGCTTGGTGTTGGTGGATATGAAATCAATTCTGGACAGACGTCTAGATGACAACATTGGAAACATATTGACGGAGGGTTTGGTTTTAGTGTTGAAGCACTGCGAGAAATGCTGACTGAATTGTTGACAAATGGTATCAGGGTCGTCGACAACGCCGCCGTTAACTATGAAGAATTTAGTCATGCCAAGAGAATTCGATTTCATACGGGATTTAAAAAGCCAAAGTATTGATAACTCTGAGGTTTTATTACCTAAAATTTTATTTTCTATAGTCATAAGATACTTGCATTTAGATGTACTAATTCTGACAATCAAGTTAAGTGTACTCTGAAGTGCATACACGTCATGATGCTTGTGGTAGCAGTGTTTAAATTTTTTCGGCTTTCCTTTAAAGGTTTTAAAAGTATTCTGGCTCATAATGGCGTTATAAGCTACATGGCCAATAATTGGATTAGTGCAGTCAACGCAATATGTCAGGTTGTAATACAAATCAGAAAGTGCTGAGTCAATATCATTTGTAGTAAAATAAGGTTCCCATGGTAAACATCAAATGAGAGTTTCAGTGAGCTTCCAGGTTTGTTGATCAAACTGTCTTCTCTGGTACATCAATGAAGTTTGAGAGTTCAATTGTATGGCGTTTAAAGAATGAATAATACTCAATACACCTCTATGATCACTCATAAAAAACTCATGACTAGCATGCACTGAGATAGAGCCTATTTTGATTGTAAACAATAAATAAAGTATATTATTCCTCCTAGTCGGTTTTCGGACCTGCTGGAGCAATCCACAAATTTCTATTGTTTCAACTAACGTGTTATATCGGTCTGGTACCGAAGTCGAACCCTATGTAATGTTCGGTAGATTAAAATCACCTCCGATGATTTTTAAAAGTATACAGTTAGTACGAAGCAATGAAAAACATGTTTGTTAGTAATCTGTCAAAGTTAGTATCCGCATGTGGTGGCCTGTATATTCATCTTACCAGTAGATACTTTTGAAATCCACAATACACTCTAGCCCGAGTGGAGTCATCGGTGGAATTACTAGATTCATTCTCAGATTTATGCGCATGAATGTCCGAATGGACATAGGTAATTGTATCGTCCCCTATTCCATGACGTTGATCGGTTCGAAAGAAAACGTAGTTATCTACATGCAAAGAGCAAACGATCATAAATGATTGTACCACGTTTCCACAATAAGTACAATGGCTGGATTTACAAGGGTTTTAAGATGAGTAATTTTGCTAAACAAAGAGCGGGCACTAGACGAAATAATAATAAACTGATAGTTATCATGGCGAAGCAGGTTAGAGAATAAATCGCAAATCGGTAGTT